ATACACCTTGAAATACAGCTACATAGTAAATATTATTTATTTAATAAATAAATATGTCTAATTTTCCCTTTTCTGTCAAATCCAGTGAACAAGACATTTATGGTTCATTGGTAGGTTGTGGGAGGAACATGATAGATACATGAGCAATTTATATTGTGTTCTGTAGTTTTATAAACTTTGCTTTAGTATAGCTTTATACATATTATAAGTTGTAGGTGCCAAGATGGCTGTGAGTTTCCTAGCTAGAACAAAAGGAAATCTGTGCCAAGAAAAAGGTAGGATTCGTTAAAGTAAATAACTATCTTATTCTGCCTGGATACCTGTTATAAGCCAATTATATGTGTTTTTGTCATGTATGTTTACATCTGGACAGTGGCTTGTAACCAATTATGTGTATCTTGTCACGAGACCTTGCATAGAGAAACTATAAAAAGTCTGAGCTCTTCTAATAAAGCAGACATATTCTAAGATCTTATAGATCGTTTATATATGTTACCGAGCCCCTCCGCCAACAGTAGGTGCTCCAGGAGTTTGGCATATCACCACCAAGAACTATGATATATATATATTTATATTACATTAAATTCTGTTATATTAGAAGTCCAAATCACTATAAATTGCTTGAGTTACACAAGTCCTTCCTCCTTCCTTCCTGTCCAGCAAAGCTGCAATTATTTTAACTCACAAGACTGCACCAAATTTTTCTGTTTCATTTGATAATTCATTCACCTGCAAACAGCTCACAAAGTGAGAGATAAAAACTGTTAGATGAGGAAATGACTGTGAGGTATTCGTTCACCTCTAGAAGACCTGGAGAGACTATCAGCAATTGACACTGAGAAAAAAAATTACTGCAGTAAAATAGTCCAAACCCATTGACATTTCAGGGTGTTCGATCTTGTAATTCAAGACAAGACATTATCTAGAAATTTCAGCCATGAATACATATTTATAGAGGGGGATGAAAAAAGAAAAAAAAAGAAGAAGAAGAATCCACTGTTTCTGTCATGTCATAAAAATTGGATTACATAGATGGTGCAGTATCTGTGCAGTAGCATGTAGTGCCAGGTAAAGGGCATGAGAAAGAGGGACAAGATGATAACTGAATGAATCATTGCTTCTCAAATTGTTCTTTCTTTTTCCTTCCTCTCTCAAATTAGTCTGAAGCCTACAAGCAGATAAAGGAATCACATGGAGTCGAATAAATACTTTGCTCATATTTAAAATACACTTGTCCTTTTAAGAATTTTTTAATGAATGCAATGTATTCATCTTCTTCGAGACTTTTTAGAAACATCTTTATTTGTTCAGGTAACTGAGCTGTGTTTTTCCCAACACCATCAGGCTACCACTGTAATTGTCAAACAGCATCACAACTAGTCTTTAGCATCAAGAAGGTGGATTTTGAAGATGATGTTTTAAAATTCAGGGACTTTGCACAGTGCTGAGGTCTCCCTTGGTCACAAAATGCTCTTTCTAAAATTGTTTGGACCAGGTATATGAAGCCAAGCAAAAGGTAAGAGCTCACAGGATGCAAAGTTGCCAGAAATCCAATTTATCCCTGATATTTGCTTTCAGTATTTTTAGAGACATAGGAGAAAATTTGCTCTTAACCTTTAGTTTTAATCAATCTTGGCTGTTCTTAAGTAAAGGAGGAAGAAGGAAAAAAATAATAAAAGAAATGTTAAGCTTGTAGCATATTTACCATCAGGCTTTTTTTTTTTTTCCCCCCCAAGTCTTCCTGAGGGATAAATATATTTTATGCAGCTAATGTCTGAAAAATAGTAGATTCACTGAGCCTTCCCAGTTCATACAAACCTAATTTCTGGAAACACCTTTGCAAGACTGCACAACCATCACTCCCAGACAAGTTCCTTGCTGCCTGTAATTAACAGAAGCTAACAAATAAACATGGAAAACTGATTTATCACAATTTTTTCCCAATGAGAGCAAGGAACTTTTTAAAGCCTCTAACCTTTAGAGGCATTATGTTATCCTGCTCGCACAAGTATGTTGTGCGTCTTGCTTAGACCTGTTGAAGAGGATTAAATAAAAAAAAAAAATCATATTGTATTGGGTTCAGTTTGTTGGGAAAAGTCAGGGACATGCCCACACAGATATAAAGTTACTGGAAAACTGAATTGTCTAGAAGAAGGACAGTGAGTACAGAGATTTAGGTCTCATTGGGAAGGTCTTACTAAATATGTTTCAGTGGCATCATTTGATAACAACTCTTTCTCCTTTCATACATCTTGTGTTAGCAGCTCTGCCCATTTGTCCGGGCACAGAGGAAACTGGATGAATTGTGGAGCTCTCTCAGTTTATTGTAATGATATGATGGTTGTGTTAATGCCTTTAGTAAGTTATTTAGTGCCTTTAGTAAGTTACTTAGGCGACCTTCACAAATGCTTCATATTTGAGTATTAATAAAAATGTTCATTTTAACTGTTCAATCTTATTCAAGCAGGATTTTATGGAGGCAGTACATGGTTTCATCTTTCAATCTCTTCCTGTGGACACATGGGTAATAAAAGTATATGTATTAGAATATGTCTTTAATAAGAGCCATATATTTGACCAAGGCAAGACTCTACGAGTAGACAAGTTCATTTTCAGATTTCAAAGGGACCTATAAAAAGCTTATTCATCTGCCTTAATAATGCCAGTGCTAAGATTTGAATTTACCACTTCTCAGTAAATACTACTTAAAATTTGATTTCAGGTGTTCTGCATGGAATACACATAAAAATCAAGGTTCACAGAACTTATGACTTCTCAATGCAGTCTTTAAATGGACTGCATAAAGAGATTGAAAGATGCCTTTTATTTTTAAAACATCATGAGAAAAATAATGAGTGAGTATGAAAAGCTGTAAGTCTCTTGCAGAGTCTTGTAGACATGTCTGTAATATTAATGATAATTCTGGCAACAGGCGGGTGTTGTTAAGTTCTGCTTTTTACCAAACACGCCTATGAAGTTTGCCCAGACTTTCAGTGGCATATCATTTCTTAAACAGACATGGTAGGAGGACCACTTGATCCTCCCAAGTTATAAAGGCAGGGACTTGAGTGTAGAGGACACTTCTGGAAAAACTGAAATAAAAATACTTTTCATCCATCAGTTCTAAGACCTATATTGCTCTGGTGGCTGAGGAACAACTTCTGCTCCCAAAATGTCAGAGAGAAATAACATCACTGCCTCTGCTCTTCCACTTGGAGAAGAGGATTTTTATCATACAATGGCAGATTATCCCAAATATGCCTTGAACTTCCCATGTTAATGAATTGTTTCTTCCTATTGTTTTTGTGTGGTTATAGACAAGTTTTTATCTTCACTTCTTGAAAGACCTCAATTTTTCATTAAGCAGTTGCCATTTTAGGTTGGCTAAGCTGTATAGAAACTGCAGTTCTTAGGCAGATGATAAAGAAATTAAAGAACAAAAATTCTTTGGAGAAGGAAACAAGAGCAGACACCCTGTCATTTCTTAATGACCATTTTTAAGGTTTGAGGGCTCTCTTGTTTGGTTTTTTTTGGTAAATAGACACATTGATTTAGAAAGCCAATTTTGGTTACAAGATCCTTCTCAGAGTAGAGCTCACAAATCGCTGAATTTACCAACATTTAAATTAAGCTCTTTTGCTTTAGAATATACAAAAATAGTGCAGAATATAGAAGAAATTTTTAGAAGGCACCAAAGGACAACTCCTTGTAGCATTCATATATTCAAAAGTAATCCATTTAATCAGCTGAAGAAATATTGTAATATTGTAATATCTTTCTGTGGTGGGACACTAAGCCTGCTTTAAAATGCATCACCACAGTGAGAACATATCACAGAAGAAGGTTGTGATTGACAGTATTTAATATTATATGAAGCTATTTGCTGAACTTCAAAGAAGCTAGTCTTCATTTGAACTTTTCCTTACATAAATCACTTCTCCCAATTTAGAATGTAAGTAAAAAAAAAAAAACCAACAACAGTTTAGAGGAGAAAAACTGTAGGCCTGAAGCTACATAACTGATATTTTGTAAACGAAACCAGCAGAGAAAAAACACACAGAGAACTGGGGTCCCCAGCAGATGCAAAAATAATGTATTTTCAAAGATCGGGTTTTTTGCTTCTTCATCACTTACTTTTTTTTTTTTTTTTTTTTTACTGTTGTTGTTTTTGTTTTTGTTTTTTTTAATGTTTTTTAATGTTTAGTAACTAGACAATAAAACACATTGTATTCCAGTAGAGACAGCTGAAAATGTAAGAGAAATCTTTACAGAGGATGCAAACACTTCTCCTGTCTCTGAATGCCATCCAGCGTTTAATTAATCATGCCCAATATATATTAATTATAGTGTATATAAATATAAGTATTTATTAATTATAAATAATTATTCCTAAATTACTCTTACCCAGCATTTAGCAAGGTTGTAACAATCTATTTTTGTGAGAACACAGCTTGGTAAAATCACTGAAACTTTAAGTTTTGATAAACTAACTGTGATCTTCTTCAATGAACAAAGCCAGGGAGAGAAAGATGTATTCTTGAAGTTGGACATGTGGAACGCAGAATTTATAGACCACAAGGACAATTTGCAGAAACCAGAAGATACAGAAGAGATTAAGACTCGGTATACATGTTGGACAGTCCCTACTGGAGGAAAAAGATACTAAAAATATGAAGTATTTTACAAATTTACAAATATGCAGTAATTTACATACACAGTGAGAAATCAATAACCAATAGAGGATTGAATATAATTAATGAAAGAATTATGCAATTTAGAATCAAAAGAACATTAAATTTTTTGCTAATACTGTATAAATAGGTGGAAAAGTTTGGATTCAGCTTCTGTATGGAGATTGGGAATTTATCAGTCACATACCTCCCGAGCAAGAGTAAAGTAATTCCTCGCTCAACGCACTAAAAATACAGTATTAGAGGGTTTTCTTTGTCCCAGTGACTTTGGATGACTTGGTAACAGAAGTAACACCCAGAGATTGTCTCAAGGAACATTTAGATATTTATTTTCATCTTCTTGACTAAAGATGTGCTACAGCCAAATACCAAGACTTGGTGCCGTTGGCTGTGCCCAGAGACCCTCCAATTTCAGGGTCACTGGGGTGTCATGGGTGAGTGGTCCCCGCCCATACCAGACCTAGGGCCACTGTCACATCTTCCAGTCCTTTCTAGGGCTGCTCGCACTCAGCAGGAACAGGTGCAGATGAGGGCCAGATGGGACTCCCCCGGAGAGCATCCTCTGACATGCTGGCTACCTCCTCGATGCTGGAATGTGGGAGGCCACTGGAGGTAGGAGCACACCCCTGGAAGACAGAGCTGTCCCCAGGGCTCTCATCCTCCTCCCTGGCAGCATGGGAGTGGCGCAGCCTCCAGACCTCCTGGCTGCACTGGGTCTCAATGATGCTGAGGATGCCGTGGATCAGCGGGGCTGTGTGTTCCTGAAGGCGAGGCTGCAGCCTCTGCACCAGCCCATCCCTGTTAGGTCCGAAGATGCAGAGGGCAAGCAGGACACTGCTTTCCGCAGTCTTTACCTGCCACCACTTGTCCCTGTATATCCTCTCCAGCCTCTGCTGCAGCCAGGACCGCACAGGATCCAAGAGGGTCCATCGCCTCCGGAAAAGCTCTGCCCAGAGCTCAGGCAGGATGCCACCCACAGCCTCTGGCTCTGCAGGCCCCTGCTCAGGACCATGGGTGTTTACATTCCCTGCCTGACTGCTGCTGGCCTCAGGTGGCTCTCTGGAGAGTCTGGTGACACAGTGCAGGCAGTTTCCCTCCTGCTCCGAGAAGCTGATGGTGGAGATTGGTCTTCTGCAGAGTGGGCAGGCACGGTTCCCTCGCAGCCAGCGCATTATGCAGCCCAGACAGAATTGGTGGCGACAGGGCATCGAGTAGGCAACGTTATCCAGGGCATTGCAGCAGATGGGGCAACTCCACTCCCTCCCTGAGGCCATGGCTGCTCCTTTCTGCAGTGTCCCAGCTCAGGAATTCATAGAGACCTCAGTCTCAGTATGAACTTACAGAGAACGAGGGACGTGAGGTCACAATCCACCTCCCAGTGATGTCTCAATGCATCAGCTGATGTCACCCTCCACTACCCAGTGATGTCACAATGGAATAATCACTTGGCACAGCTGTCTGAAAAAGTCTCACAACTAAAATTCAATGCCTAAACACTTCCAGGAACTCTACCTACAGTTTTTGTGTTGCCTGCATTTTAAGGCTACCTAAAAGTGTGAAAAACCCTCCAAAATTAAAGCACCCGTGCAGGGAGAGGTGAAGTCTATCCATTCAGCAATGTACCCTTCTTGCATTGGCCTGAAAATCTGGGAAAAGCCCCTCTGAGTCACAGGATTGCTGAATTTATTTGGCATAATTTTATTGGAATCACATCCAGCCATTTCAACCATACCTCAGCCTGAAACTGCGCCTACAGGAGATCACGCAGAAAAAAAGGCTCAGTGTTCATTTCTCAACTCACCTTCAAAAAAACACACCTGGTGTAATGAATCTTAGTATCTTGATGTATCTGCAGAAATTTTGTGGCACAGCTCAATTGAATGTTCTTGACCAGCTTGATTTATTACATCAGGTGTGAGCTGCAACTCATCAAGAACTGAGATCTGACTAACAAACATAATTTCTATAGATTAGCAAAGTTGCATAAAATATCAAGAGCTATGAAAATGCAATGGCAGAGAGAGTTCATATTTGAATAATATTTGTTGAAAAATTCATATGTTTCAGAAGTTTCAAATCATCCAACTCCAGCAGTTCCTAAGATAATATAAATATAAATATATATAATAATATAAATATATATTAAAACTATATCTATAACAAAACAGGTCTTTTCCACCCTAAATAATATTATAATTCTATGACAAGTATATATAAAATATTTATTACCTATATAAATTTATCTTTAACTTTAGGACTTGGCTTGCTAAGTAGAATTTATGAACCACACTTCACTGTCTTTTATATACTTAACACAATAGTTGCATTTTTTTCTGAAGAGCTTTGTAGAGGTGTAGGTCTAAACTGTGGTAAAGTAACACCAAAGTGCAGATCACTGTAGCAAGTTTATAGCTTCCAGCTGGAGTTTGATGGAAAAGTGATTGCAGTAAGGCTCATTCTGTCTGAATAACTGATGGAGAGGTAGCAATTATCCTAACACAAAATAGTATACAGTGGTATTTGTCAGAATATCAGTACAATTTTTGCTGGAAACTACAGGCCATCAAGGATAAAATTAATGAGGTCAAAAGATTTAACTTGGAAGAAGGAAAATTAAAAAAAAAAAAAATAAAGCACTCTGTGTTTGATTAAAGCAATATACAACATCACAACTCAATCCAAAATAGCTATTCAGACCATGAATCGCATTCACCTAACAAATGAGCACTACTTACCTCTCAGGATTAACCTACATTTTGCACTAAAACTCATTAGTTTAAGAAACAGATTGTATCACTGGATGGAAAATTTGACATAAGAACAGCAAGACAATTAAACTACTGTAGATTTTACTTTAGCTTGTGCTTTTAAATGTACACTTAAGGCCTTTCTCTAATTTCTGTAATGCTTGGCTGAAAAATCATCGTTGTTGTTTAAACTGTGGGATGCTCATCACAAGAGCAAAGACTCAGTCCAGTGGGACTGAGTAATAAAAAACCTTCTCCACACACTTGAAGTCATATTTCTGATTAAATCATATAGTATCATAAGATTTAAGAATATAAGTTAGCACATCTACACTAGGTGTGCTATTGAATTTGATATTAGGGATTTGTCTTATGCTACAGGTTCTAGAGTTTGTCCAAATAAAAAATTCCAGCAAAACACATTATAACCAGAACCCTGTGTGCTCTGTTCAATTGTCAGCACATTTAAAATAATGAAGATATAACATATGGTCCCTTTTAAAGCAACAATGAGAAATACCAGCATCAGGAGATACAAACACCAGGGCAGGGACCCCTGTTTCATCATCCTGATCTGGATAACAACAGCTCCCATACCACACAGGTCTATTACACGGCATGGGGATATTTAGTGGTGTAGAGTAATAAGCAGCATATGTCATGGAATTGCATTATCCAGCATGTTACAGTTCAAACACCTCCATCCCTTTGTGCTAACTGACTCCATCTACTTGTGGTAATTGCTTTCCTGCAGCAACTGATTTCCAAGAAAGAAGATTTTGCAGCAGTCATTACAACCAGTGAACACTATCACATGGTAAGGTGAGAGTATCAAAGTGTTTATAACTGGCTTGATATTCTGACACATCACCAGCACTCTGTGTCAGGCTGCCAAAAGCAGTGAAACTTCAGTCAAGCCCCTAAATAAAGTTTTGATTTTCATAGCACTTAAGCTTCTCCAAACTTTTGAAAACCAGGATCTGGGGGTTTGTTCACACAAAGTATCATAAACTGTTTAGCTGTTTATTAAGATAACCTACGTCAAAATCTACAGCATAATTTAATTTCTTTTCTCATCCTAACTTCTTCCATAAGTAAAGGTAGATTTAGGTAGGACTTCACGTAAAGGCAGTATTTCATTTGCTAAAGATAAAGGTATAACATTAAAATAAATAGGGATATTAGTACTGGGAGGTGGGGGGAGGGAAGGTCATACTTGAATAGTTGTTAACATTTCAAAATGAAACTAGAAAAATTACTCTTGATCATGACTTTGCTAATTTCAGAGGAAAAAAATGAGACTTTTAGAAGCAATGTATTCCACTGCTAGTGAACTTCTGTTATTGCATTGCATCACACTAGTACTAATGTGACATTTCAAAATTTGTCAGGTTTCCGCCTTCAGGGTTCACTCACAAAAGCAGTAGAAAGTCTCAAACACCAGTCTTATGAGCAGCAAGTTTGCAGTTTTCTACACTACTTCTGTCTGGATTCTTTTGGGGGAATAAAAATTTACCTCTAAGACTTCAATGGGTTTCAATAAGAAGAAGTTTATTTTAGTTACAGGATCACAAACAGGCGTCCATCATTCCCATGTTTCTTTTGTTCACTTGCAATAGGTAAATATAACTCACTGACACTGAATGCTCAAAAATTAGAGGACTCAAGTCCTGCCATGTCTGAGGATGTCTGGAGCCCCTTAAAATGACACTAATGAAATTGAGAGTGTGTTCAGAAAATTGCTAAGAAATTATACACCAGAGAGCTTGCTGGTCTGGACAGAGACAGAAATATGTCAAATCTCATGGAAAGATAAGTTGGAAGAACAGCCAGAAAGAGGAGACACTAATAGGCAGACTCCTGCTTCATCCCAAAAGAGCTCTAAGTTTACAGAAACAAATTAGAGACCAGTGAACATGAGCAATGCAATATTATTAGCACAGTCAAAGAAATAAATTGTTCAGCAGCTTCCCAGATAGGTCTAAATCAGACTCTTTCCTTTGTAGTGCTAGCCATTAAGCAGCACACACAATACTGCAGTTGTAGGCTTCAAAACCAGATAGGAGATACTTTAGGAACCTTTAGTCCTGCTTATGCTACTTAACCACAACAACATTTTGTGTAATTAGATACAAAAAATTTGTTTTCTTAGGCTGAAAAATGTCCTCACACTGTTCAAAAGACATAACGTCAGTTCATACAAAATTTGCAGAGATTTAAAAATATGATGACAAATGTTCTGTCAAACATCTTCAGGAGATCATGGATTTATGACCTGGTAGGAAGAATTGTTCCCAAAGCAAGTCTGCAGCAATTCTTAATAAAATCTTTAATTCATATGGGGAAGATCCTAATCCAGATATTCCCCCACTGTACATGTAAGTTATTCTTACACATAGACATATTTTCATACTGTACTGAAAATAAAGATCAAGGTAAATTGAAAATATTCAAAAGACAGGAGGTAGAAGAAAGGGGCAGTAGTGACACAGGCACTGATTTTCTCATTTACCTTTGGTGAAATAAGACTTCCAAACTCACCCACCCCCCAAAAAACCCACGAAAACAAACAAACAAAAAAATGCAACACAAACTGACAACAACAATAAAAATTTATTTCATTGTCGAACTTTGGCATATTGGATATTTGGCATGTCATCTCCTGATGATAGAAACTGGGAAACTACCTTATTTTGCTACTCTTGTTTAGCTGTGAAAGAATGCAAAGGATGCTATTTCATATCCAGCTATTTTAGGTTGAGGGTATGTGTCTCAACCCCAGTTAGTGCACTACACATTTAAAAGTAAATTCATATAGAACAGTTCCTAAAATATTCAAAGTGGAAAAATCTAGACATGATGCTTGTGACGGTTTGGACCTGGCTTTCTGCCAAATGCTTGAAAGTTACAACAGCAGCCCCCTTCTCCTCCTTCCCTTTTTCCCTTTGGTTAAAGGAAAAGAAACTATAAAAATTAAAGAACCCAAAGTCAAGCTGCTTATATAAAAAATATATCTATATTTACGCAAATTACAGTTATATACAGTTAAGATGCTATATACACAGTAAAAAGGGGGTTTACCTCCCACAGGGACAGGGAAAGGGAAAAAGGGGACAAAAGGGAATAAAAGGGACACTGAACAGGTATACTAGATCAAACTATACTAATAACTAACAAAACAGATCTCACCACGTTCCTTAGAACAGCAGGATCGGCAGTCACAGCCAGCACTTTCCAAACCTCCACGTGGTAGGACGGTGGACTCTGCAGGCCTCAGCCTTAGATAAGCGAGACCAGCGCAGGGACCCACTGTTCCCAGACCTCGCCGGAAGAGAAGAGAGCGAGGTCTCTAATCTCTGACTTATTTATACTCTGGTTTACGTAAAAAATTGTATGGAATACTGGGTACTTGGCTACTTCCTTGGTTACGAACTGGTCACCAGGAAGGCCTAGACTAAAACCATCACAATGCTAAATAAAATAATTCCTTGCAAAACCATTTAAAGTCAAGCTAAATTCTTGGTCAGAAAAGTAACTCAGGCTTTATAAATTTATCCATTGTAAAGAGGTCTCTGGTGATGAATTTC